TGTAAGATGATTTACATTCTCACATGAATAAACGTTCAAAAGCGCATTGCAATTTTTAACGCGTAAAATATTTGAGTATGATACTATAAACGCTTATTCGTGTGCTAACTATACTCCATTCATTATAACATTAGAAAAAAGAGGATCGAAGATGCAGCAGCGCAGAACATTTTATTCTCAAGATAAATTTAAAAATATGTATATAATAGTTTTGTTGAAACTTTGAACGTTAGGTAGTCTGAACGAGTTGGGCAATTTTCCATTTTCTTGGGGCTGAGATGAGGCTAGCATTTTCTAAATTCATTTTTTACTCCCAAGCCAACATGGAACTATATCTATCTTTTGATAAATTCTAATTATAAGTGTATATAATAAGAATAGAATTTTATTATATCTTTGCCCAGAAAAGAAAGGTTAACAAAATAAAAATTTTATTATTACTTTTATAAAAGTTATTCAGATATTATTAGACTATTGATATTAGACATTAGAAAAAAAATCTTGAAATGTCATAGTTAATTATTGGAGGCCACTCGGGCCTGCCCCGGAATCATCCATATTTAGAAAAAATTACAACAAAAACGAAACTATAAGAAAATAACAATAAAACAATAACAACTCAATTACGGAAATGGAAAAACAACAAGAAACAGTAGCATTCACAATGAATGACAATCCCAGATTACGCACGTATTTAGACTATTATGAATACATCATAATCTGACAAAATTTAAAACCTATACTGCTGAAACCTTTGAACGGATTAGGCAACTTTTAAATTTGGTAGAGTTAGAGTGACATGAGAATCGTGCCGAAATTATCCAACCCTGCTTCTTTAGGTTCTTTAAGACGACCACTTTTTATTGTAATAGTTATTAAATTTTTTAAGTTAGTAAAAAATTTGTTTAATAGATAGCTTAAAAGACAACGGTTAAGTATTGCGGCTGGTATTTAAGTGGACATGTAGCAAATTAGCCGTTAGTCTTAAGACTAATATGATTTTTGATATTTTGTCACACAGTATACCATAAAAAGAACCTTATTTAACTTCTGGTCTAATGCTATAATGAATGGGTATAGATCGCTTGAGAGTGCTATTATTTTTGAAAATATTTGAGTAAGAGACAAAAAAAAAATTGAAATTTTGAGTAACGCAATATGGTCTTCCTGATTGCCAGTTCCCAAAAAAATCTTCCGGGAACAACACGATCATCATAGAAAATTTACAAAATATTTTTAGTATGTACATTTTAAATCTATGCTGTGATTTACAAGTTGTATTTATAAAGTGTATGTGTATAAATTTGTATCGTATCTTCTAGATAAATCCAAGAAAGGGGTATGTAATTGTTTCTACTACTTATCATGTTTTTAGAAATTAGTACGAACTGTTTTTTTTTTTTTTTTGTTTATTGTAGCCGTTTCTGTATTTCGATTATAAGTATACCAACCTATCAAGGCTAGTCAGCCGTACATACAAAGCTGTTTAAAAATTGTGAATTTATTATAATTATATTATAATATATGTGTAATAAGTGTATTGCAAAAAATCACAAATTCAAAGTTTAGAATAGTATTAATGATTGTTATTCTCCATAATAAAATTACAGGGCTTTTTTCGTTTCATATAATCATAACACCGTTTAAATAAAAAAATATACATATTTTTAAGCTTTTTTATAAATATACTGCAATTAGAAAAACTTAAATGTATTCCCATAAACATGTTAATGCAGAGCAATTGTTAATTTATCTGATATTTTAAATTATACAAAATGGGATCTCACCTCTGCGGGGAGAAATAGTAACTTTAAATAAGAAATTTAGAAATAACTAGGAGAGAAAGCCTCACCGCTATTTGCTTTGATTTGGCAATAAAATATAAAAAAGTAATAAAAAATATAAAATATTCATACAAAAAATGAAGATAAAGTTATTTACCTTCATTAAGTTAAAAAAAACAATATCATTATTGTCAATCATCGATACAAAAACAACACATAATAATAAAGTCTCATATGATATTTAAATAAATGTATTATAGAATGGAAGGTTTTTTATTACCCATCCAATAGTACAAAGTTGCCTTTTTCCAGAGTGCCTACACTTTTCACTTATACACGGTTGTCTACAGTTTTAGTACAACGCTTTTTTAATCACTTTTTCTACTTGTTCAGCAAAAGATGTGCTACAACTTTTGAAAAAAAAATAAGGACTGGCAAGATACTCGGCAATGGCTGCATTTTCTCCCTTTTTTATTTCTTACAGAGAATAAGCAATAAAGGCTATTTCACACAAAAATATGTAAAAGGTAAATAATATTTGAGCGAATTTATTGCACATATATTTTTACAGTTCTGCGATATTGTTCGTTTTAGCACATTTTACGAGTTGAAACAATATGATTATGCAATTTATTTTTATAAAAAGACTAGTTTTTTTATCTGTATGGAAATGTAAGCCAATGTCATTACTTGCGAAGGGTTTTTTAAATTGTATTTATTCGCTTATGTTTTATAAAAGGTTTTTATGAGTTAAAAGGTGAATCATTAGAAAAAGCAATGATTTTCAAAATTATTATTATTACAATATATTTAGTAACTATAAGAATATAGAGAGCTTCTTCAAAATCAATAGTATCGAAATACCGGCAGGTAGTACCAATTTTTTGGGTCATTTTTAATACAAGGACCTATTAAAACGTTAAAACCTGTCTTCGAAATTATAGTGGAACAATAAATTTAAATAAGTTACTCGGATCAGCGACCTATTCTTAGGTAGCAATCGTAACATAGAAAAAGTAAGACAATGCAGTTATAAAACCTAATTAGAATGAGAAACAGACATCCATTAGCGTTAACTCTACTAAAAAGGAGACAGTAAAGTAGATACAAATATTGACAAATGGGCAATTTACTTATTTACTGTACGCGTAAAAAGATATTACGAATAATTAATTATACTCCTTTAATATCAATCAGCACGAGGCGAGCTTTGATGTGAATCAAATCATATTGAATCACAATAATTATAAGCACCTAACCTCCTTTTATCTTGTATCAGAGAAAAGGGTCATTGAAGTCTTACATAAGCAGAATTTTTGTTTTTTTTTAAGTCCCCTTACCTTTTTTCAGCCAAATTAAAAACAAAATTTGCTCCCATTTGCTAAGAATGCAAATTAGTATAAATGTTCGAATAAAAATACTAAATTATACAAAACACATCTAAAATCATAAATTTATGAATATTATAAATACGAAAGTAACTATCTCAGTACATCTGTTATACTTTTGTTATTTAGTATAGTTATAAAGATAGTATGAGACTCTAGTAAGGATATATAAGTTTTTATCTCAGAAATTCTAAAGTGGTGAAAAAGCAATAGAATATTACCATGGGCAATATTTATTTATCATGGTATATCATTCATAAGTAATTTTAAAATTATATATAGGCCTGAGAAAATTCACCTAGGCTGTTATAGAATAATTAGACTTTTATTAATGTAATGGGCAACATTACATTGATAAAATTCTTTCGTTCCGTTCCGTCACCAATCAACACCGGTGTGAACCATATACGTAGTCTGTTGGCCTCCGTGCTTGGCATGCTCTGTTGTTGTTCAGCGGTGAAACGATATAGGCCCTAATGGACCATTTACACGGGGTTAATAGACGAGATATTCAGTAAGCCAGTTCAGTAAAGTTAGAAACTGTTGTATGTCCTTGGATTGGCTCGATTACTGGCTGGAGGATGACTTCATTTGCCCAAAGTCAATATTGGACCGTCTTACTGGATTGTCTCAGCTATCGGCTTCGTTTCAATGTAGCATAATATTGACGAGTCAATTGTGTTTTAATAACAAGTTTTGTTGTTGTTCATGTTACTGGATAATTAACATATCGTTCGTTGAGAACGATAGTGACACAATGCAAAAATTGCGATTTTGAGTAATGACCGTTTAAAGTTCAAGAAATTGTAAGTCAGCCCCTCTAAACAACGTACCGTCACTACGCCACCTAGCAGTTTCTATGCAAGCTACGTTCACGGGGATCTTTGCATTTTAAAGCTATATACTTAACAAAGTAAAATGTATGCCAAAAGTAAAGAATACGTCGTTTTTGGTTAGTGACATTGTCATTCTCAACGTGCGTATATCTATCACTATTGATTTGTGAAGTGAATGCACTGATAATAATGGTTGTCAAGTAGATAGTACAATGACAAAATTCAAATAATGAAGACGTCATTGCAATGCAATTCCCAAACTCTACATTAGCATAATTGAGGTCCTAGTGAGGGTGTCGCGTCTTTCTTTCAATACAAGAAATATGTTTATTATTGTGCTTGATACGTTAACAGCACTAGCATGGTATGGCACGGTGGAATAGAAAAATGTTTTTAAAATATAGGTATAAATCATGCCCTATCATGGACCGTTTATAGTATGTGTGTGTGGATGAGAAATGGTAATGTTTAAACATTTTATAAAAAATGTACCTGAATAAATCCTATCAACTTAAAGGAAAATAAAGTAATTAGAAATCATAAGAAAATGTCTTTAAATAAATGCAAGCGTCATAAAACAATCGTTAAAAGTATTGGAAATTTTCCACCAGCATAATAAAAGGTTCAGTAGCAGCGTAAACAATTTAATATACTTATTTATACAAGAAAACATCAAAGGGAGCTTTATGAAAGGCTTTGTTTGTGCGAGGCTTTGATGCCTTTATTGCACTGTGCAATTACGTCGCTCTTTTATATTTTTACAAAAAATATTTTAATTGGAAAAATTGAGCGGAAATACGAACTACCAATCCGCCCTGATTTCGAACTGACTTAGTAGGTTTAAGTTCATCCCATTCAGGGAGCTGGATACCACAAAATTGCATTGATAATGAGGAACTCGATGATTAGCGTGTTCGATCTGCAATACAGACGTTAAGCAATTTTTACAAGGGCCAGGTATTGGACGGTTAGTACATTTTTTTTAACCCTACCTCCTTCGTATTTCTTTTGGTCCCGGTTGCATCTGTAGTTGTTATTACTTACCAATCCTCTCTGGGTATGGATCAATCTGCCTGTGTGGGTTATGATATTATGTGACCCTATCTTCTAATTTGTTGCCGTCAATGTGGAATGAGTTCTGATGTCTGATTCTCCACAGGATTCTTTCTGTTTTCCTGGACATTAGGTTATAGGCTGATGAGATTTTATGAGCCAGTGGTTCTTAACCTTTTATTCATCAGGGACTATTTTCTATCATGCATTTGCAGCCGCGAGCCCGGAAGGGGGTTTGGCTATATTTTTTCCTGATATACAAATGTTATCATCATCATTACTTATCATAATCATCAGCCTATTAATGGGCCCATTGCTGGAGCTTGGGTTTTTCCTTTGAATAGAAACTACTCAAATCTCCCCATGGACGTAATATCAATATCTTACTTAGATTAATTCATTGAAGCATTCGACAGTGAGGCGCCACAGGTGTTTTCAAATTCTAAAGAATATAATTATCAAATCTAACCGTGGTTTCAGCTGTTACAGTATTAGATAGTAAAACAATGTATAAATATGAATCTATACATGGGATTTTGAATTTTCTTTTAACTATGCGTTCTCCATACTGTCCTAATTGTCGTGCCCGACAGGGTCCATGTTGATACATTTTTTTTAAACATCTTTGTTATACATTATGGAGTACAATAAAGAAATTAAATTGAATTGAATTTTCATATTTCTGTAAACGTACAAGTAATTAGCAATAAGAAATGTCACTTTGGACCTTATTTTTATTTTTGTTCATTCAGTTCGTAGTTTTATTATGAACAGATGAATAGGTATACTGTGCCAGAATTCTTAATATAAATGGAATGTCAGCCAAAGGCAAACAAAGGACAGACTATAGAGTGAAAATAGAGGGTAATACTGATCTAGCGCGCGAGCGGTATCAGATAGTTTTTTTTATTATCTTTTGAAGAATTTTTAAGTCCCTTTGCATCGTTCGTTGCCTTGTAAATCAATTAAAAAAAAAGCTTATTAGAATTTTATTGGAAATGTTCTCTTTGAAAAAGATCTCTTTGAAAAAGATCTCTTTGAATTTAACCTATTAAAGAATTATATCTTAAAAGTAAGATGTAAGTAAATAATGAAATTTCTCTTTTGAAACCTTATATTATATTACACAATCTACTTTTGAATTATATAAGTGGCGGTGCAGGAACTTCATTAAAATATATTCAAAGATATTTCATTGCTTTTTGAAAATTGTACGTATTTTCTAAAACACTGTTACTCTTGTTCCACCACTACCACTAGAGAGCCTGAAGTGTTGATTCCCTTTGTCCAGCATTTCTATTTAAATTTGAATGTAACGAATATTTGTATAGTATTTGATACTTTTTTTATTTTCCTTTAGTATTTTTTATATGCTGCAGCACTAGTTTTTTTTTTTTAACTCACTCATTGTTTTAATAAATATAACTGAAAAGCATAAAACTACGGGACACGTCGACTTATAATGTTGGTATAGAGCCTAGGGTACCTTTTGTTAGAAATTGGACTATGTAGGATGCGATCCAGATCAAGTACTTTTTTATCGAATTTCACGACTCTTTGTAACGAGGATCTTCTGGCATGTACTTATTTTCACTATAAGATAATCCGCCAATGGACTAGATACATTAACGGTATCCATAAAAGTATCCATTCACCTTTTGGGCAATCGATCTACCATCAGAACCTTTCGGATTGATTATATGTAAATGTTTTACTAAATGCTTGTCGGAGTGCGACAATAGAATTGATGTTTTATTTAAATGCCTCTTGCAATGTAGAATTGAGGTTAGATAAATACGTGGCCACGCGCACCTCACTCGTCCACTGTATAGTAATTACTGTAGAAACGGTTAAATACATGTTAAGCTAAGCCCTTGTAAATATGCTTAGGTATTTAGACTTAATGAATATACGCGTAATTCAAATAAGAAAATTGCAATTAACATTTAACCTAAAAGCTTTCAAAACTTACAAGATCAAAAATTTTATTAAGGTTATTATAAAGTTTGATAAGTTATACCGAAATGATTTTGTTGAAAATTAATAGTGAATATCTATAAAAACTTTTTAAATAAAAGTTATGATCCCGCTATATCTACAATCCCGCAATAACAAAGTCATTCTTACGTTGAACGTTAAATGTTTACAAATTATAAAAGTCAAGGCAAAAATTAATTAATTTGTATATTGAACTTTATCGACCAATATAATGATCGGACAAAAGGTACAAAAGGCGGACTTAATGCTAATAGCATTCTCTCCCAGTCAACCTTTGGGAAAATTGACGAACGCGATAACGGTACAGAACTAAAAATATGTGAATAATTTAATTAAAACTGCAACAACAAACACTATAGTTTAGTGTTTGTTTGTTTTAACAATGCTTCGAACTCTAAGAGCCGTCTGTCTACCACCCTGCCCCCACCTGACCCACTGTCACCCTATGCATTGTGATTGTACTTAGTATGAGCTTCATTGTGAACAATGTAAAGTTCAAACAAACTGTATTTAAAATAATGTAAATACACAGTACTATAGACTTAATTTTTTTTATTGACAACAATGTAACAGTTACCACTATTTACGAGTATAATCCTATTTTCTATTGTTTGTTAGAATTTGTTTGAGAAAACTTAGATAATTGATTTTTATTACAAATTATGTATCGATATAGTATATTATAGAATGGTGTAGCTCGGTGGCGTAAAAGATAAGCGCCGCGGCCCGCGATTGCTATTAAGCAACTTTCGCAAGGGTCGGCCGCGGGATCGGTGACCAAAAAGTTATTGTCTCGAGCTACACCGTGCTTCGGAAGGCACGTTAAACCATTGGTCCAGGCTGTATTTACAGTGCAGCGTGGAGGGTCGTGGCTCATCCTCCTTAACCATCCATATGCGAGGGAACAATAAACTTATCGAGTATTAAGTTCACAACAATACAGCTAAGATGGCAAATATCATAAATGCTTATTAACAATACAAATTAAATAAAACATAAAAAAATATTCAAATTGAAGTCACACTGAAGTAAAATACGTTTTAGAACGTAGCAAATAAAGTACAAAATTATTTAGTAGGATATAATAGACAATAAATAAAATTATTTTGTTGAGGTTTATAGTACGAATTGAAACAATATTATTTTAAGCTTTAAATAGAACATGATGGTATACGTATTAAAAGATGATGGTAGGTTAACGTATTAAGTTCTAACCTAACCTGCTATTCTGGTAGTACTTAGTAGCTTGTCTCTGTCGGCGATACCTTGTCTGATATGGTCTATTTTTACATTTTCGTTTAAATAAAATATCATAGAAAACATATTCCACGAAAAACCACACAACAAATAAGATTTCACAATATCGAGAGCGGTGTGCTTGCAAATTAATTTAAAACTATTTTTATATTTCTTTTTCCTGCGATGATATCGACTGTCTGTTGCAGACAGTCTAGCTGGGGGAAACGAATGGGCAATGTAATTATTTTCCAATGTTAGACATATTTTGAAGGCCTTTTAAAACAGAAAACGTTCTTCTATGAAATTATCTAATACAGTTAGAGTGGACTATCAGAGTATATTAAAAAAATATCTTTGTTAAATGTAAATTCTAATAACGTTTGAGCACAATGATGCTGACGATGTAAATGATGACGCCATCGGTTTGTAAATCTACCGCAGGAGGACACTAAGAGGAAGTAGCAAAAAAGTTACCAAGGGATTTATCGGATCAGTAATTCCAAGATTACCCCCTACAAACAAACAAATAAAAGTTAGAATATTTAATTCTTTATAATATTAGTATGTTTATATATTTGGATTGTTATTTATAATTCTTTTTTTAACTTTAGTAGATGATTTAAAACTGATTTTCCTTGTCGGCGACAACTTTATCATTTGAATTCGCACTCTTTATGTTTGATGAGGCCTTTTGACTATACTATTTAAGTTCATAAGTCATTGGTTCGGTCTCCAAAGGTTAATGAGTCACTGCTTCAGGTGACCGGCTAAACCTGATGGAACATGAATATTAATATGGTATTTTAATAAATATGTCGAGATTATAAACTTAACGTATTATGAGACTTCTGTGAACAGAATTCGCACGTTGAATACAAAAATGGTTATTGCAAAAAGGCTTAATGTTATAAATTAATTATATTGCTATTGCCATTGTCTTAAGGAATATATTTGAATTTATTTGACTTTTGAAGAGTTGTTTGTGATGGACACGGAAATATTATTTTGCTCGCACATAAACATTAAACAAAAGTTCAATACAATAATTATGATCAACTACCATCAGTGACTTTGTCCGTGTGTATCTTATTGTATCTTTTATCCCTAGGAAACCATTTAGTGGGATAAAAGTAGCCTATATGTTAATCTAGGCTTAGAATTATCATAAACTTCAAAATCCGTTGAGTAGTTTTTGTATGAAGAATTAAATAAGAAGAAATATAACGCAAACTTACAAACTTTCGCCTTCACTTATAATATATACAGGCAGCAAATTCTGCGTATATAAATTAATTGTATATACCTTGATGGTAATACAACACGGCTTTCAACGGTGGATCTTTTAATACAGGACACAAGATGATTAGCGGCGTTACATACACCCGTCTGCGCTTAGCATGCAGCGGATGAGTTTATTTGTTAAATCACAATGAACACAGACTGCAAAAGGATTAAGTATACAATATTACTCATTACACTCGTAGTCAAGAGGAGTTATTAAGTACTTGAGAATATGTCATAATTTAAGCAGATATTTTTACCAAATAAACAAGAATTTTAATGAATTGAGAACTGTTAATAGTTAGAATATTATTTTTATTAGTAATTAACAATTCTTATATTATTAGTAAAACTTAAAACTGTTTGCTTAATTTACGACATTTTCCCAAGTAATTACTGATCATGACTATAGTATACGCATGTCACATTCGGTTAGTCAGTTGATAATTTAAAGTTAAGTACGTCTCAAACCGTGCTTAACCACGTTACACGTTACTTAAACAGGTATTAATTTTTGATTTTTTAATAATCAATAATCAGTATCAGATAGCCGTTTGATAAAATTAATCAACATAAAAAAATTGAAAATATAAAAAAATTAGGTTATTGAGAATACTTAGTTAATATTTTAGCCGCTAGTCTCTACATACACATACTTTCCTATAGACGTAGATTTACATTCGTAGCTATAGGCGATTTTGATGCGGTTTTTTTCATAGATAGGGTGATTTGAAAGGAAGGTTTTTATTTATAATAATAGAGCACGCGTTCGAAGGAGAGTTGCTGGCGGAGAGTAATGAATAAGTATTTGAATGAAGTATGGACTCTCAAAAGTTAGAATTTGTCTATATCTACAGAAATATTCATCTATTGTCGACCAAACCAATGACTTATGACTAAAACATTTACAATAATAGAGAATATTACACAAATATTGCACCTGAGACTGGTGTACTGAGTACTGGTGAAAAGTGCCATATTTCGTATAGTGTTTATAATTTGTGTAATGCTGATGTAATTATAACAATTACTTGATATCTTTAGAAAATATAATAAACAACCTTTCTGATGAAAATACCTGTTTTTATTTAATATAGTTGAATCAAATTAAAATTCTCATTAAAAGGCCGACTACTAGGTATTTTACCCTATTGTAAAATAAGATACACTGGGTGAGTACCAGGTAAGGTAAGGAACCAGGAAATTGAATGAGAATTTTAAGCTATATTTCAAGTTTATATCCAATATAGGGACACAAAATTATTTCTAAAGCCACTGAGTTACTTGGGTTTATAAAGCGAAATTCGGTGAGCTTTTAACAAATTAAAACTCACAATGTCGTATACTGTATGTGGTACGTGTCTGTTCGTATTCAGCTAGAGTATGCGTTTCAAATCTGGAATCCCAGACGTCCATCGATTGATAGTTAGACTAAAATAGAACTAGAACGGTGTCATTCACCATGGAATAGAAAACTACTGTTGTAAAAGCTCTCGGTTTAAACTAAATGTATGTAGTAGAATTGACTCCAGGAACCGAAACAAACTTTGTATAGAATTAGATTCTATGAAAAGGAAATACATCAGAGACACTAAGTAATTAAATCTGATGTCTGAAACTAACTATATCTTCTACGATCTCTCGTAAACCGCAGTGTCTCCACCGCGTTCCCTCCCTTTGGTTACGTTATGCACTTGGATCTTATTATCCGATTTAGGTATCCAAAGTTAATGCACTTGAATCTTATTATTTTAAATTGTTGTATCACATGCATATGTTAAAATTAGGTTTAAGTGTCTTTTCGTTTTCTGAATTCATTGTTGAAAGTCAAATTTAATATAACTAAAAGTCATTTGAAAAGCTGTTTCGTATATATAAAGTCAAATCAAAATCATCTGGACCCATTTGGGGTCTGTAAGTGTGTATACACTTAAAACGTATTATTGTTTCAAAACCTACTTCCCGCTTTTCTGGTTGAATAACGTCGCCAGCTGTTTATCTATGTAATCATAACCTTTTTGCTGATTCTCAGAATTTATAGGCTGATGAAAATCCTTGATTCTGTTTGATATTGTAGAATTTTATTTATAACTAACAGGTAAAAGGAACATTACTATAAAAAGGCATATAAGTAGTACTTAATATAAGTATATTCGTTTTGTCGTGAATAAATCGGTACTCAGATATATGGTGAATTAGTGAAAAACGCTAATAGCCACATAAATAATAAGTTTGCTTTGTCAGTTTCTAAAAGCCATGAGTCTTGACTCTCGTCTCAACACAATGGTATTCACCACTTTCAGCAAGACAGTAGATATGAATTAAATATGTTCAAATATATGACGGAATGTACGTATAAAGATATGATGGACGCATGTGTACGTGTAATAATAACAAAAATCAAATCAACCGTAGTTGACAAGGAAATATTATTTTATGTCGAAAAGAATAGAACGTGGTTCTTAAAAACTGCGTTTAATAGTTATATTAAATAATATTAGGAATTCATTAATACATTAAATGCATATTTTTTACTTAAAAAAAGTACCTAATCGAGAACGATTAACGAAGCCGATAACCTGTCTTCTTAGATAAATTAATATTAAAATTTATTCCAATATTCATTTCAGTAGAATTATTAGGAATAAAATTGGTTCTCGAATTGTCCACGGCCCCTTCATTTATATTTTTCTGTTTGCAAAAACATGTGCAGCTTTGTATCAATATAAAATTAGTAATTTAAATAACATTACTAATTTTGTAAGCTACGTTTGTCGCCTGACGTAATTACGTGCGTTTGACGAAACTCCGCTTGTTGCCTTATTAAATTTTGGACCTGGCGTTGTAGTACCGTCGGAAAATATTTTTAACTTGAATGCACTGTTGTTGAACTGTGGAAACTTGTAAGTGCGTAATTGTGGAGACTTTGTCGGATTTAAATATAGATCGAATATCGATTGTGTAGCTTTTGTAGATAAAGGATGCTGCGTCGTTCCTTTCCTGTGATGTGCATGTTCTGTTACATTTCGACTCGTAACAGGTTTTTTTGTTGTAACCGATGTAAGCGACTTTGTTGTGAATTTAAAATTATTGAATGATCTAGAATCTCTATCTTTCTCTTTGTTCTGCAGGGTTGTGTTCGAAGCTAATTTCTTAAACGTTGTTAGGTTTAAAGATGTTAAGAGAGATGGTTTAAAAACATTAGTCGGTTTTGTTGTGGTTGTATCTGTTTTAAGTTTTTGAATTGTTGTTCTTGTCACTGGACTTGAAATGATAGATCTTGAGAATCCATAGTGGATTAAAGGTCTTGATGTAACGGTGGGCTTCATATTAAATATAGGTGAAACTGTAGTAGATGGTTCTTGTTTTGTAGTTAACGTTGTAGGTTTATTAGTGGTTGCTATCGTACGTGAAGGCTCACTCGTGGTAATTAATGGCGATGTTCTTGTGGCGGTCACAATTACGGGCATTATTGTGGTGGTAGAAACAATATCTGATAATCCTGCCCTACTAGATATTGAGGTGATGTCATTGATGTAACTCGGGGAAGATTTTGAGATTTCATTGTAAATATTTCCTATAGGCTTCGGTTTGTCATCGTGAAAAATCCTTTTACGGAATTGTTTAGTTTCTATATATTTTCTATTCCATGGTTTCTCTGAAGTTGTTGAATTGTCTGCGCTTGTTATGTGGCTAGGAGTAGTTACAACATGCTTTTCTTGATTGTTTTTATTAAGATTAAATATAGGAAGATTTAAATCATCAATGTTGTCTACTTTGTAATTCAACCAATTATTTCGTACAATTTTCCGGTTAGCTTCCTGAAACACTTTGTTGAATTGTCCTCTTAAAATTGAATTAATAGCTAAATATGGCGGTTTCAAATTATCAATATTGGGGTTGTGCACGAATGCAGTGGCATTATATAAATTTATTTTGCGCGATCTGCTCGTGGTTTTCACTTCAACGTTTTTCATTTGTTGATCGCAGTCTATAATATACTTTTTAGTATTATGTTTACAGTTCTGTGAGTAAACCACCCAAGCCAAGAAGCCATCGCCTTGAAGTCGAGTATGTTCCTCGTGGACTTGGAGTGCGCACTGCACGTCGTCCGCTATGTCTTCATCACGGAGATCGCTGCAGGATAGGCCGCACACTTTACCAGGACCACACCAGTACAGCTCACTTATTTGGAATATACCGTGGTCACCGCTTTGATAGTTTTGTGAGGCAGTGTCCAGCCGGGATTCATGGTACGCGATGCAAACCCAAGTGGAGATATGGTCGCGCTCGATACCCAGTGTAAGTAATTCGCGGGCGAGTTCGCAACGCTCGTACACACGCGCGCTGGTGAGAACAAGTAGCGTGAACGTCCAACTCGCGGCGTGAAACATCGTGTCTGGGTCACAGTGTGAACGCGCATGATATTTTACGCCTCCCGCCACGCGCTCGCGCACGGTGTCGCACCTGTATAACGGTTATCTTAATTGAAGGATTATTGGATGATATTTTTCGTGATGTGATGCGTACGATAAATCTGCCGGTAGCTGAGTGAAGCGCAGGAATAGTGTCCGGCGTCGAAGCGGCTGCGGCGGTTTACCTTGAGCCGTGTTGACTCACGTCATCTAAGAAGCAGTGGTACTCAACCGTGCTTCGCGTACTGTTATTAACTTCCTCATAAAGCATTCCCACGAAGAATACACAAATAACTAACTCCAGCGAAGAAGTAAAAAAGTTTTATTATTATTAACATTTTTAATTCCAGATAGTATTATTATACAACACACCCTATTCCCAGTTCGTGCTCTATATTTTGTTTATAGTTATGGGTAACATAATATTAAAAGTCTTATCTTAAAATGAACCAACGTACTCTTTAAATGACCCAATGTACAGGAGAGAGTCAGTCAGTCATGTGATCAAATTATTAAATTTCATATATTTTTATTCACAATGCTACACTGATATATGTCTCACAGAAAATACTTAAAAATGTGGTATGGTGATTTTTTAGTATTCTTCTATACCAAATACGAGGGTCAAACTGAAAGTTCTTAGAACTGGCCACTTATAAACAATATAATAAAAAAATAATTCTAAAATTTGAAAATATAACTCTTTGCCAATATTACTGAGTATATATTTCATTCATTTGTCATTTGTTTTACGATTTGGCGGCAAATTGAAAATTGTCTGTGTCACGTCATCATGAATTTAACACGAGAAAATTTTCGTGCAATGATTTTTTATGACTTTCGATGTCATTTAAGTCAACAAGAAAGTTATGATAGACTACGATTGGCCTTTCACGATGAAGCCCCATCTCGTGCGACTGTTTACAACTGGTTTAATGAGTTTAAACGTGGTCGCACTAATCTCACTGATGATTTACGTGAGGGACGGCCTTCTACGGCGACGACTGAAGATAACATCTGTGTTGTGCGGCGTATGATAGAGACTGACAAAAGAGTGACCTATCAACAGATTCGGACAAGCTTAGGCATCGGTATGAGTCAAGTGCACAAAATCCTCCACGAACATTTAGCGGTCAGGAAGCTTTGCGCCCGGTGGATACCTCATAATTTGACTGAGGCTCAAAAACTCCATCGTGTGGATTGGTGTCGTAAAATGATTGAAAGATTTAACGGAGGTGACTCAAATGCTGTGTTCGACATACTAACAGGTGACGAAAGCTGGATTTACTGTTATGATCCTAAAACCAAAAGACAATCTGCTCAGTGGGTGTTTCCTTTCGAGGAGTTGCCAACTAAAGTGAAGAGAGATCGAAGTGCGGGAAAAAAAATGGTGGCCTCGTTCTTTGGAAGGATAGGTCATTTTGCAACAATTGTGTTAGAGGATCAAAAAACAGTTTCTGCAGAATGGTACACTACCAATTGTTTGCCACTTGTCTTGGAAAAAGTTCGAGAGAAACGACCTCGCAGTAGGATCCTCCTTCACCACGACAACGCCTCGTCGCACACCGCCAAGCGAACGATCGACTATTTGGCGACATCAAACGTTGAATTACTGTGTCACCCGCCGTATAGCCCCGACCTCGCGCCTTGTGATTTTTATTTATTTCCAAAAATTAAAGAAAAACTTAAAGGAAAGCGGTTTATGAATGCTGAAGAAGCGGTGGCTGCGTATCGCGATGCCATTGGAGAGACCCCTAAGGACGAGTGGGCAAAGTGCTTTTCCCAGTGGTTCCATCGCATGCAGCGGTGTATTGACGTGAATGGACAATATTTTGAAAAGATATAATAAAACTAATAACTGGCTAATGTAATCAGTTTTTGATTTTCTAAGAACTTTCAGTTTGACCCTCGTATATGTAATCAAAGCCAAACAAAATTATGACAGTGGAATGGATATCGGGTACTTTTTTTTAAATTATGGCCTTGTTCCATTATACACGGAAATTCTGCCAACTTACCAAATATATTCGGCTGACGTTATCTATCAATAGTATCAGTCAATTAAATAAGATACCTGTCAGACGTTTCTCGTTAACTTAGTTACAGTATGAAGGGTATGCCCTATACTATTCATGTTGATTACAATTCTTTAAAGAGGATATTAAAGAACAGGCAGTGCTATTCTGTTTTCAAGACAGATACGAACTCGTCTTTGATCTGATTTCAAGATCGTTACAAAACTATATAGCTTTAAGTGATAAGAAAGTAAATTTTAGAAAATGAAATAAGTATTGTATGTTCTTAGTAAATAAGCTATACATTAAATTCATTAACGTCATTCGATATCGAATGTTTATTGATTTAAAATTAAAAAGTTATGTGGTGGCTAGTAATTAAATTAGTTGACTATACCTGGTGACACATCATATCTTATTGATACGATTATGTACATTATTTGAGTCACCGGTAATGAATGTATGTCAAGTCAATGCACTATTTACGTATGTATGAGTTCTTACAGTTATCCTGTACGAGTTCAGATTAATTTTTAATGAATAGCGGCCTCTGCATCATACTTACATATATGTATAGGTTTTCTTTCTCGATGTGAGTGTCAAGAAATATTTTTATATATTAGGATAATTTGAGAAACCACAAATATAATTGGTCATAAATGTGGTTATTAAAACTAAAATACAGAGAGATTGTTAATAAAATAAGAGTATTTTAGTATTACGAATGTGTCCAAGAGTATTTTTTGAAGTTAGTTATGTTTTCAATAATTAAAAGCCGTCCAAAATCTCAGTCTTGTGAATAAAGAAAGAAGTGAAAACGTCTGAAAAATGTAATCATTTGTCTAAAATACGCGCGACTAAACCAGTCTAATGTCGTTTTTTTAATTAGTGTGTGTGAAAATATGTGTAAGAAACAAGCATATTACTTTAAAATTTCATATGACCGGGCACGATAAGCAGACAAAGGTTAGGCGGCCCTGCCAAAGTGTAAATAATACGCATCCACGGGTCAATAGGTGAGACCACGGCCTTTATTGCCTAATTTTATCGCCGGTTCTATATTCACTTAAACATTTATAAATCATATATAATAAACATAACCTTTTATAAAAAACCGATCAACAACTACTCGCTGTCGCATTAAATTTTAATAAGTAATCGTTTTATTCACTTGATTTCTATATAGTTTACAAAATAACACTTTGAAGTAAAAGGCTGTAATCTATCTGGGTATCCCGGGATTTGTCCTAGTTCAGAGGACGTCCGGGCTGTGTCTGGGATATATCGGTGTATCTGGGTACTTGTTGCTACCGCCACAAACCGGTGGCCGGACGAAAGATAAGCTGTTAATTATCGCGATAATTTGAATTTTGAGTGTGGTCCATAAGCGCGTCGTGACTGTGTTAATTAAATAAAAAAAAAATCTGTACATTTATAATTTACATTTGGTACGAAATTTTAAAATTTTACTTCTATAAAATTCATAATAGGTAATTAGCCCTTCTAATTGGGTCTGAAAGATTTAGAATGATAGCGAATTACTTATATTTTGCATGCCAATGTTTCCACACTATAATTACCGTATTAAAGAATTTATAATGAACATCACCTGCTCATATAGATGTTACTTTAAATGATAATGAATCAAATGCAGTAAATTCGCATTGTATATTGTCTTCAGTTTCATAATAATAAACACAAGCAAAATAAACGTAGCGCGTCAGCTTTATTTAACAATTAACAAGCTTTGTAAATCCAGCAGTTCATCGATATTGGGATATTCGGTATCGCTTTTAATTAGTCGCTTTCATTTTCGGTAAAATAATAATCTCTTATTCAGCTAGGAACCGCGTTACAATATTCCAGTAAATAGACCCAATTAAATTTATAGATAATGTGATAGATATAATGTGTCTAGGTTATAACAGAATATCGAGTGTCTTGTAAATATGTGCTTATAAAATTACTATATACTTAGTCGTTAGCAAGTTGATAAATAGGAAAAAAACTATAATAGACAATACGGTAAACGGTCATAGACAATATAGACTTCAATTTTGAAGTGACATTTTACGAATAATATTCACCATTTTAGCAAAGGTATTTCTAACAAATATTCTATGAATTCTGTCGCCGAAGGACAGAGTCAAAAATGTCTATTGCATGTATTGAAATCCTGATACACTTCTAGTGCTATTCGGACAGTAAAAATCAAAGACCAGGTAACTGAAAAATATTATATATATTTTATACTATATAATGCAAAATTAAATTTAGCAAAATTTAATAAACGTACCTTTGCCTCTAAAACAGTTTGTATTTAGTTAAATTTGAGTTTCGTAGGTTTAACTTTTAAGTTGATATTTAAAACATTATACCTAATACAAGCTTCACTAAGCTTGTATTAGGTATAATGTTTTAAATAGTTCTTGGTTTAAATAAGGTTTAAACCTGATATTATAATCGTGTTTTCATAATAAGAGGATATAGCTCTAGACACGTTATCATGAGCAATTTCTCAGCTTTATTCGCAATATTGTCACTTACATATCTTTGACACGATCCTGTGTTATGCAAAATATGCGTTGTGAGACTTACATTTTTATATTTCATACACCTCGTGTCATCTGGTGCGGAAACGAGCTTTCCTCTCCTGTATTATATGAGATATTATATGAAAGATTTTAAATTTGTTTACATTGTATAGTAATTTATTGCTTGTTACTTCAGAAAAAGCGGATAATTTGTTACTTAAGTATCTTAACGATGTTGCCCTGTTAGAGTTACAAAAGTCACCATTGACCTCCTGTATGACTAGCTTTTTACCAGCGACGTCGCCCGCGTATAATATAGCTTTACGTAGGTGAAGGATTAAAAAAAAGGGTCAAGTAGTTTTAGAGCCTATTAAACGCAAACTTACAATCAAATCATTTCTCTTTAAGATACGTATATGTATTTGTACAAATAAAATGTAGATACCTTTAATGTGAAGAATTTGCAGATTCGTTAAATTAGAAAATAGATAATTCGAGCTAATCGGGATGGATACTGTTTCGATAATCTTGGTCCAAATTATGTAACCACACTTTTGGGACAAGATTACAACAAAAATAATACAATACAGTAAAATTTGAAATACGAGTATTATTAACGTTGAAATAATAAACCTGAAAGTTTATTTCTCTTCTATGTTGTTTTTCTACAACATCGATTTTATGATTGACAAATTGACGGCGCTTCGCGTTGCGCCGACGACGTTCGGATATTTGAGTGTACGGTTAAGCTATGTCAGAAAATAATTGAGGTTCCTCTGTAGCGGAAGAAGGCAAGGGAAGTATCGACGTCACCAGTTTATTACAATTCTCGCTTTGTTTAAGATTTTAAAAATTGTAATCTATCTCATTAGCGTAATGTAGACTTTTTTCTTTTGTCTTCACCCCTAGCTTTAAGCAGACTCGGAATCACCGGGACAAAACTTGATAGTGTGCCCTTCCTCTGTTTCGTGTGGCCCGATTCTATGTTATCATATTTTTGCATAACTTATATTTTTAAATTTAGAGACTGACATGTCGTGCCATATATAATAAAAACATATTTTTTAAATCTCTTTTTATCCTAGGCTGGTTTTACCGTATGAGCAATTGTTATTAATTGAAGTAATTAATGTTAAGGTTTATTTATGTCAAATTTGATAATTACTGTCAAGCTGACTTTAACATTGACCGTGGTATGCGTTGCACCATCCTTTTTCTTTGCATAGTAAAACAAAAGCTAGTATCTGTCAAATGTTAAATGATGAGAACTCATTATTTGCTTAACCGGCACTTTAACATGTTTGTTATTGTTAAAGTAAGTTAGTGCAACTAATTTTTAGACTCTTTAGTGTCAGTCAAAATTACACTGGCATCCGGGGCCCCCACTTGTCCCCTAGATCCAGCCCTGGCTTTAAGTTAACAAAAGGGAATTTCTTATGGTAAAACTTACCAACACAGGAGAACAATTCCATCGCACCCTGCAGTAGGCAGCCATTTTCTCTGTTGATGCCGGTCGTCACGTTGAGGCAGAAACATCCGTCTGCATCATTCAAAAACCAATCGTTGACTGCGAACCTGACTCCTGGTACGTTTTGATATTCCACATCGTGTTGGTAGCGCAGTTCCACAGATCTACGTGGAATGTGAAAAAAAGATATGTATGATAAGTCTATACCAATATTATAAACAGGTAAATTTTCTTACTTTTACGGAAATACTGATAAGATCATGAAAATTCTTTCACCTACGGGAAACTACGTCATACGATAGAGGCTATATTTATGCAGATTAGACGGACTCCTTCCCCCTCTGAGAGTATTATCCTACAGTGGGTTTTATCAGGTAGACCAACCATCCCGAGGTGGTTTTGCTGTTTTGTGGTGGACCGTGTGGCTTCGCCCGCACTTAATAAAACAGCACAGAAGGGCTCGTCGGGCGTCCCAGACTTATTCCGGGTAGCGGCCGACGAACAGAGAGGAGGAGGGTTCAACCCCTTTAGGGAGGTGGTGTGACTAGGGCGCTAAGACTTTCTTGGTCACGATTCGGGGAGTTTTCTTTGCGGAAGAGTCTTGATTGGTGAGGGTTCCGGGCCGGCATCCCGTTAGTAAGACGGGTAGCGGCGGCGCGGTTTCGGGCTGGGCGGGCGTTCTGGCGAGGGCGGTGGGCCTCCGATATCGTGGCGACACGTGAAGAAGGTGTCTTTTCAAGACAACCACCCGCCGACCCGTACCTCTGCGCTTAGCGGAGACGGGGAGCTACCCGTCGTTGGGTGACCCTGGGAGGAAGGACACCTTGTTTAAAAAACCACCAACCCTTGCCGTCGTGGGCTACAGGGTGAATGGGCACTGGTAGTTTGCCTGTAACACGACCTCTGGAGATGGGGACCTGCCGACCCCCATTTTTCAGAACCTAGGCTTACCCTGATATAACGGAGCCTCTGCCAGGGTGGACCGTTTGAGCGACCGTTCTCGTGGGAACATTATGGAGATGAACATTAAAATATCAAAAACTACCGACGTGAGGGGGCCTAGCTCAGGCGTAAGCGAGCAGATTGATGTGGTTGAAGAGGAGTTCGAGAGAGATAGCTCGGAGGAAGACGAACTTGACAGAGCTTTCTACGTCGAGACGTACAAAGACGTAGAGAGCATAAGGAAGAGGTGCGAGATGATGGTCTAAGTCTGAGGAGGCTGCCGAAGAATTACTCCAGATGTCCGGATGTACTGTTGAGGTGGCGGTCGACGAATTGTCAAGGCTGCTGAAGAGCAAGCGAATGCTGGAGGGCCAAATTGAGGCCCTAAGAAACGAGGCGGAGGATCTCAAGGAGGAAATAAGTGAGCTTAAGGCTCCTAAAAGTTCGGCTGCTGTTTGGGTTCAGACTGTGGACCATAAGTCTGAAGAGGGAGTGCAGACCCAGTTCGACGTGGAGAGCAGGAGTGCTGAGACACAGTGCTCTAACCCCTCGGTACTGGGTATGACGGGGGTGAAAGAGATGGGATATCAGACGGATCTGATGGATGAGAATGGCCTGGAGGAGGGCTCCTCTATCCCTAGCATGAGTTCGGATCCGGAAACGGAGTAAGAGTCTGAGGGAGTATTGACTGCGAGGGACTCAGCAGACCCTGGGAATTCCCGGGAATTGACCTGGGCTCGCGTGGTCGGTCGGAAGAAAAGGAGAGGAAACAGGGAGAAGGAGAGGACGGGAACGGAGAAGAAGGGGAGGACTGCGGAAGTGAAAAAGGCCCCTGCGACTGTTGTGAAGAAGCCGTCATTACCTCCTCATAAGGAAGAGAAGGTAAGAAAGGGGAGTAAAGGAGAGGAATATAGGGGTCAGTGAGACCCGAGCGCCAGTCACGTCGCAGAAACCACCTCCCACCCACAGAAAGAAGAGTGAGGCACAAAACGAGGGCCTCCAACACCTCTGCAGTGGTTATCACCATCACCCATCAGGCGGAATCTAAAGGGGTGACCTATTAAGAGGTCGAGAGTCACTAGGGCGAGAAGAGGGATTGCTCTCACGGATCTGGGCATCACGGGAGGAGTCGATATGGCGGTGACAGCTGCTGGGGCCAGAATCATGAAGGTGCCGGGGCCCGACAGCGATAAACAGGCGAGTCTTCTCGCCTCTAAGTTGACGGAGCTGTTCGGCGACTTAATTGTTGTATCGACGCCGACTAAGAGTTGTATTGCCATCAGAATGACTTTTGATGATCTCAGAGCGGAGCTAGCGAGGCAGGGTAATTGCCCTCCTGAGCAGATAGTGGTGGGACCGATCAGCAGAGGCAACGATGGGCTTAACATAGCACTTTTGAAGTGCCCTGTGGCGGCGGCCGAAACTCTCGCCAGGAGTGGACGGCTGTTGGTCGGCTGGACCTCCGCCCGGTTTCGGGATTCGACGCCTGGACCCGTTGCCCTTGCTCTGTTTTAAGTGCATGGGTACGGGCCACGTACGGAGATTTCCTCAGCGACCCTGGCCATGGGAGCCCGGTCCGGCCGCCATACACAAAGCTTGGTGTGTGTGGTGGCCGGGCCGGGCAGTACCATTGCTGGGGCCGCACAGAGAGGAGCGACAGAACTGGTTGCGCCGAGGCCTGATAGCGCCCTTTTCAGGGCTGTGGTCGGGCCGTACTCAGGTGGTACTCAGGCTAATCGTTGATAAGGGCTCTGCCTATGTGCCCTTTTGAAGGACAAGGTGGTAATTTATAAAATTTATCGATTTCTTGAAAAATTTGAAAATTATTCCTATAATTATTAGCTATTTTTACATTTCTTGTTTTAATTATAACGGTTTTTAAGGGAAAATTCATGAATCATGCAGCTCTTTTACTCAATCGTAATTGTTTGTGAGTAATTAATTATTTGAAGTAAAATAATATTTACTTATATATGTTATCTTAGACTAAAAATATTGTTTATTTTATTTCAGTTATTTTTAACAAAAGTAAGTAGTTTATAGCAGACGCATGTCCACAAGCAGCACCAGAAGGCCTACACTGTTTCTCTAAGCTGTCGTCTATAATCGAAATGCAAATAGGACTTCAAAGAAATGCATTTTTCTATAATTAATGATTCAGGTGGAACCTGACATTGCTTCTGATGTATACACTTTAACTGAAAATTATACATTCAACACAGTAGGCTCTCAGTTCACGAGAAATATTCAAAATGCCTTTCGTTCGACAAACAGAGTAGACTGCCAGCAATGTTCAAATGCCTGAGTTAGCGCTAGTTTAGGTACTTCGTTCAACCCTATTTTAGGGAACGTAACGAGCTGCTAACCCACACGTCGCAACCGCTGAGATTTATACGAAAACAAAAGCAAAACAACAGTCAAGACCTTCTTTCGTGGCACGTCCCGTTAAACTTTCGATTATAATCAAACAAATCAGTTTATTAACGATTTAAAAATGTTGAGTAGGTACTTACAAGAGGATTATCGAATATTACAAAGTGTGTCTGACATTTTTAATACCGAGTGCAATTCAAAGTACCATTTGTTTTCACCTCCCGCTGAGCCCACGGTGAACCGTTACAGCGAAATAAAACTAAACCATCCTACGTAGGTAGGTACAGTTATATGCGGTCGATACCCGTTATTGGATTGATTAACGTTTCGGTCATCCCTCGTGTATTCCTGAATAAAAAGAAAATTCGTTGGCAAAATTCTTCAGACTTTTTTTTACTTTTACATGTTTTCAATATGTTTTTAATATTTATACTATAAATAAATCAATTTTTACGCTTCAAATGGTTGATCAGTCCATTTTCGACTTAGAACTCTATTTTACGTTTAAAACCCAGTGGGGGACCTGTAAATAGCCCGAGAACTCATGCGGGATTAATTGGATTGAATAATTTATGAATTCAAAGAAAAGCGAAAAAAATTAAGAAGATTGTCATATTATGTACACCATCGGAACTCGAATCAGCGACGGACGCATTGTCTACAATAATTTAAAATAGCCATAAAACCAATATTTCCGAAAAATTCCGGTAACCAAAACAATAGACCTATAACATTTTTTCTTCTTAATCCCATTATGGCGTTGGCTAGCGATGAGGTTAGGTTTATGCATCCTTATTTAAATTCGTAGCGCTCACAGTGGCGACACAGAACTGCTGCAGACCCCCGCAAGCACACAATATATTCCATTAATAGTGCATTCAAAGGGAAATCAATAGAAAAAGGAAATTATTAAATACAGATACATTTGAAGTGGCTTCACCACTCGGTTTATATATAAAACTTTTCAACGTATCGCGGGCTTTTCATGTAGCCATAGGGGCGCGACTTACTTTTCAGGAGACATGAAAGTATATTTTTATTAATTTAAATCTTTATAAGTAATTTGACGATTATTTAAAATAATACTTTGTTGATCGAATAAGAAAAGATTAGGCGTTATAAAAAATACAAAATTTTGCGTATACCCCTTGGCTTGAAGCCTGCGATATTTCTTCTAGAGTTCTAGCCAATAGAAACATATTTTCAATAGGTTTTAAAGAGTGTTCGTGTATCGCAATGAGGAGGTATTTAAAAAAAACATTTGTTCCCGAAATCAAACTAGATGTTGCTATAGTACTTTCTTGATTTTTCCATGACAACCATTCCGGTATTCTTTCATGTATAAAAGTAAATTAATTTTCAAAACTTAATAAACAAATTATTATCTATTTGTATTTTTTCGTATTTGTATTGATATCTAAGTTTCGAACTTTTCAAATATCAGTTTTTTAATATGTCAGTTTAAAAGAAACGGAAATGAATATCTTTAGTCCATTTTTTTCCTGTAAAAATCATCTTTTGCTAGAGTCGCCATCTAGTGAGGTGCTTTTTAGTGCTTTCTTTTTTTTCTTAAAATACTTCCTCATTAACTTAATTCATAATGTGATTGATACCTTTATTGTTCTAATAATTTTCTACTATACCATTTTATATGAAAGTCAACAAAATAGGAAAATCCGCTTCAGAAAAGTCCGCTGTAAGTTCTGACTATCATAGTAAGTTAAGATTTTACTTAATTATTTACATACCTATTGGTGTTTACGAAATTTAATAATATACTTATATTAAATACGCCAGTAAGTAATACTATTACTAACAGACCCACAAGCTAGATGAATACACGAAACCATTCAATAGTTATAAAGCTAGAAGTTAGTCTGTCGAACTTCCTGCTGTCTCAGAATTGATTAATGTAAGTAGTCTTAAGTTGATTACTTTGATTACAAATAAAAAATGTGTGATTAATCGATACTTAAAAATATCCTATCTTTTAAATAGTTTCGGAGATTATCGTACACGAGATTCTAATATATTTATGGTAATATGTATATAGTATGTTGTAACTTGGTTTTAAGTCACAAAACTTAAATTTATGCTGATGCTTTATATATTTTGCCAACACATACGGGAATAGTTATACAAGGGCTAAAATAACATAATAAAGATAGTTTAAGAGAGGGAGTAAGTACTAATAATGTTTCAATAGGTTTAAGCTCCGTGTGTCACAAAAAAGAATCCTAAATGGTATTAAGAATATTTTTCAGTATAGCATTACGAATGCAAAATTGATTAAATATAATAAGTCTAGTCTAGAAATAGTATTGTAGTAAGGTAGTACTTCATAATTGTTATTAAGTACGAAACCTGTTGAGATATAACATTATTGATCTTATACGAAAAACATATTACAAGCACTAAACTGAAACAGACAGTACAGCTTGTGTGAGTTACAGGATTGTCAGTGTTTGCAATAGTCGCACACAAATTCAACACTGAAAAACTAACACAGAGACGTTCCTGCGCCCTGTGTCCAGGTGTGCGTGCACGTATACCCACACATTGGCGATGGAGCGTTGTTTTTTGTGTGCGCCATTGAGTTGTGTGTTTCAGTGCTACAGTAAACACTATCGCAGTACATCTTCTGCAAAAAGTAGATAAATAATACGGGAGTTCTTCGTCATATTATCGATATTTGAGGGAGCGTCATGCCAAAAGACTGTCCCATCTATCACTACACAAGTCGGCAAATTGCGCGCCAGAAATATGTTTTAGTTAATTACTCGGAAACTATTAAAAATTATAAAAGCGCTGCATAATTTTCTCAGCTACAGGGCAAGTTGCATATTTATAATTTTCCTTGTAAAAAACAATAGATAGATTAACTTACGAAAAACAAATTGTGAAAATTGATAATTTTAAAGATATCTTTGTGATTTTTATATATCACGTTTTGATTGTGAAAAAAGCCTTAGAAAATGTGATGTTGTTTTCAATTTAGTAGACCACCTAGTTAATTATTTTTGTGTACACGCCCTCTTAACATGGAAGAATCAGTGAAAGAATCTATTTCTTCCGCACTTCATCTATGAAAAAGGGCGAAAATCAAAGACAATTTCTAGCCGTTAGCTGCTGGCTCTATGCAGCGTAAACTTAACGCGGTAAAATCATGTAATATGTATTCGATCGTATTGACTTACCTACAAATATCACCGTTGAGGGCGTATAGAGGCTTAGTTATATCGATGAAGGGATTGAATAAACCGGAGTCGGTGCCATTTATCATGTTGCATATTGAATCAGGTTCAGTCCAGTATAGTAGCTGGGGATTGTCTTCAAACAGACTAATACGTCCAAGGTCCTCTGGGTTATTTACGCCTCTGTAGATGTTCATCGCACCACCAGGAATACCGTTTCTCTGCACACACAGATACTTTTAACTTAAACACATTTGAGTTTGTTTTGAGTTTTGCAAAACCATAGCATGATTTTACCTATTTCTAGTAATAAACTCTTACCGCCGTATTAAAAAATGAGGACTAAGGTAAGTGTGTTCTGTGAAGGTTAGTTTCTAGTTTAAACCATTAGCTGCCTAAAGTGAATTGACAATGATAGAAGAGAAAACGTCAAATTGAGACGTGTTAGTTAAGTATGACCGTATAACACAAACATAGGCGGAAATAAAAGATATTCTCTATTGTTTAGTTACTAAAACTATAAGCTGACCTTCCTGGAAGTGTTTAGAAAACGAAAGATATTCGTCCAATCACATGTCGGAGAAATTAGATCTAATATTTCTGCGTACATTACACAATTCGTTTGAATAAGATAAGCCTGTGGTTTTCCATTTTTGTAAAATCCAAGGATTCGAAATGTATAAAAATATGATGAAATAAAAATTACTCAAACATATATATATATATATATATATTTGTAGTTTTTGAGCAAGAAGAAACAGTATTATCAAAAAATTTAACATACTTACACGTAATTGAATAAAAAAAGTTATTCGAAGATAGTACTGATAGTGAAGATATGTGATCCGAAAAAATGTTTGTTATCAATAAATTACAAAGTATTCATTTTTATTGAAGGTAAACAAAATGCTTATCAACAAGATTAGAAATGAGTACAATGTAATAGGTGCAACCATTTAATGTTTTGTAATTAAAAATTGGTAAGTTACACTGAACTTTGTTTTTGAACAACGCCAATTGATTAAAATTATAATCTATTACCATATTAGCTGGCCCGACAAACTTCGTACCTATTTTTATTTATTATATGTTTTTATAAATTTTCTTATATTATACCATACCTTGTCCTAACAATATGGAACACATAAAAAAATAATCATTCAATTTGGTGCAGTCGTTTGGATGTTATGAGCGTACATACAGAAAACCAATTTTAATAAAGTGAAAATATATCACAAATAAAACAAGATCTTCTTAGTAAGAAATAAGTATTAGCAAGAAAGTATCCCCATTTCGGGGATTTTTTAATACGTTTACCCGAATCACAATGTTTTATCTTCTATTGTTTTTCATCAAATGCCGTTTTTCATTAAGCAGCAGAACGTTATCTAGCTAATTCAATTTTTCTTAAATTTTTCATGTGAAAGTGAATAAAATAATTATAAAAAAATAGTTCGACATACATATCCTAAGAAGGAGAAACTGATCGAGCTATCTGGTTGCGGCGCCATATTCTGAATATTGTTGCTGATTTGCCTTATGGTTATACAAGCGATAGTGCCAAGGAAGCCCGGATTCTTGCATATTGGAATGCCGTCGATAAGGAGATCCCCCACGCGGACTGGCACGATGGGTTTGCTGTACTCGCCGAAAATTTCGGGCAAAGCTTCGTTTAAAATCGTCATGACGGCAGGAAAACGGCTCTCTGCCACTTGAAGAACACCCTAAAAAATAAGCAGAATTGCCAACTTTATAGCATTAATTTCGAAATATGTATAATTGAAGTGTCAAAAGCGTGAACTTAATTTTGTGCAGAATTTAGCATGGTAAAGTTTTTAAAATTAAACAGAAAATCGTTTCGTTAAGTCATGGCTTTTAATACAATCGCATCGTTTTATGTTGTTGCTTACTGCGTGTGTTAAGGCTGGAGCAATCGCATCAAGGTTAGTTTAAGGCTGGAGCAAACATATTGGTAAGACATAGAATAAAATTTACGAAAAGTTATTGAGTCAACGAGATGGGAATCGAACCCTCAACGGATTGCATTTAGGACTAATAATTTCATAAGCATTTTGTTAAAGAAAAATACCTAATGTAAGATATTTTTCCAAGACGTATTTGTTATTTCGTTTGTATATAACTTATATAATAACCTGCAGAATCATCTATTAAACATAAAATAAGGCATCAAAATATCACTATCACTAAACGGGATTCTGCGTATAATGGAGCTGTTGGTGGGTCTAAATGTAAGGGGTGTTAGTTGAGGGAGGTAAAAGTGACTGTGTGTGCGTGGCCCTGTAGGCGACCCCATCCCATACCATCCGCCCACAGGCCGTCCACCCTCAGACCACCCCCATGAATCCCGGGCACAGCTCGGTCAGCTACCAGAGCACTGGGCCACGGGTATAATGCACACAACACACTAATATATATGTACACACTAGATAGCCTTCCCCGAGCCCGGGAATACTCTAATTAATTATTCTTTTAGTTAACAGTTAAAAATTTATTCGACTAGTGCATATTCGTGTACTAAATACTGATTGTTTTTCAGATAGATAATAGTGATATAGAAAAATCATTTTCAATATTGACTTGGTCAAGAATCGAACCCAGGACTACAATATGTATCGTAAAGTAAGAAATTCATCTTGTATTTAGGTCATCGCTTTTATTATTTATAACAAATAATTCGCATGAGCACCTTATTATTCTAAGTAACCAGTTATAAATAAATTCATACTAATATTTATTAATATTACATCACATATAATGCTCAGATCTCAAATTTAGTACCGAAAGCAGCTTGTATCACGGCAATCTGAAACAATGAAGGTATCACATAACCCCGACAAAAGATAATATGGACCAGGAAACGGACCAGGGACCTCAGAGGTTTGACACCTTGAAACCGATGCGAGCGTTTCGGCCAATGTCTATAACGCGAAATATGTGTACTTAAAATTAGAGTATTCAAATATACCGTTATACCGTTGTTATAACTAAAACTATCAAATAATAAAATTAAAAAAGGATATAATTCTTAGCTCTAATCCATATCTAATCTGAACATCAACATCTTAATTAAATTCGAAATTAACAAGTTATTTTTTTTTCGCTCAGCAATATTTGTTGTTTTAACTATATACATTAAATCGTAATAGCAACTTCTTAATGGGCATTCAATATTTATGTAATTCTTTGTAAAATGTTGATTTTATTATAATGACTAAGATTTTCTACAAATTTATAATTAACAAATCTTCTGAAACCAGCAGAAATATATAAAGTCGTATTATCTGTTGTACCTGTCCATTAAATAAATTAAAATATCGTGGAATTTAAAGTAAATGTTGGTACTACTAATTAAGTAAACAGTGACAACTGGTCAAAAGATTTTACTTATTTAGAAAAATATTTTAGCACTCGGTGGCGTGTTAATTTGCATTTCAAGTAATGAGCTTGCAACTCGTAAAAACACAGACTGTTGAGTACCTCGGTAAATATTTACACTAAAAATTTCTATGTTTTCTAGACTTCCTATGTTGTATTTTTAATATTTTAAATAAATTGCAGGTTTTATTTAATTATAAAGTATAAATTCTCCGGCTAATACGAAACTTAATTTTTATTTTCCATACCGCAAAATTTACAAAAGCTTAGGCCATTACATTTCATAGATTGTTTTCTATCAAAGCCTTAATGTTGATAAACTGATTTATATGTTAAATAAAACTTGACTTTTAATATTTATAAGTCCTTAACATATTTTACAAAGTAGCAAAGGAGCTACTATTAAATAAGCAAGATAAATAATGCAAGTACATGGTAAGAACTAAAACTCTAAAGAAACATATGAACGTTTTAAAAAATTCATTTATGATTAAGGGAATATAAAGTGAACCTTTTAAAAGCAAAGACATTTTTAATATGTCATATTTAACATTTGTATGTATATTACGAATGATTTCACGGTATTTAATTAAACGAGAATTTCACTCTGTATCTGGCATGTTCAATAAATCGAACATGCCACAAACAGAGTGAAATTCCGAATCATAATTGAGTTGCATTTTTATTAACGAAGTCTGTTTGTGGGGAACATATAAATAGATACCTACAAAAAATTATGTATTCGTTTGATTTTACAAAACTTTTGAATTAAAATAGTATAATATTGTACATGTATATTTATATTGTATATTTCTAAATTGTAGTTGTAGTAGTTAAAAAACTGATTCTTTTTAAGCCCAGAAAATGCTGTAAAATGTTTTCCATAAAATAACTTTTATTATAAGTAACTCAGTATTATGTTATCGAATAATATATACAGCGTGAAAGCCTTAGACCAAACAAATCGAAAAGCATCTTATAAATTCCGAAGAATCTCTAATGATGTAAACTTTGCTCTACCTACATGATCTATACTTGAGATTAGTTTGGTAAAGTTATGTCAACAATTTCGTGAACTTTCTTGAAGATATCAAATTAATAAATCTTGAGCGAGCTAGCATAAGATACATCGTATGCTTTTTATTCGCGCAACTAAGAAGCCTATTAATGCTTATTATAAAGCAGTCTAAGATTGTTCTGTAACTAGATTTATTGAGATTTCGACTGATTTAATAAAAATTATTAAAGATTATTGAAAAAGATTTAATATGATGGCGTACTAGTTAGCACGTTAAACAATTTTTGAAGGGACCAGTTATCGGATGAGTGGCCAAATATTAAATATCTTAAGTTCCTCCGTACGTCAGAATGTTCGTTAAGCCGTTGGTCCCGACTGCCACTACAATAGTTAATATCCAAAATTCCTGATTGGGCCTGCGTGTCTTATGACATTGTTCTTAAGATGAATCTTTACGGAAGTCCTTAGATGCTGATGATAAATCCCAGCACTAAACTGGTAAAAACCTGTCGGGCAGCTTTTCAACTAAAAGGTAAATACGCGAGACATGAAAAGCTTTGAGAGGCTTACACGAAATGTCAATATAGCGTAGGTGTTCCCTTCCTTTGATCCCGGCATATTCTAACCTAAATAACAAAACATAAATCAATAAGCTATATTATCGTACTAAGTTAACTTCCGGAAAAAATTGTGTTGTCTACCATTTTCAAGGGGGCGTGTATTGACTAATGTAATTCATTTATAAATAAATATTTGAAAACATATTTTTGCTTTAAAAATTGCTTCTAGTTTAAATTTTTGTATTTTTTTAATCAAACTAAGCTTTATAGAATAAGTTACCATTTTCTTTTTAATGTGTGTGTGTGAATTACATAAAAATCTTTTTAGACACATGTATTTCAAACATTTAAAACCTTAATTTTAGAAGCGTGCAAGTGTGACATTTATTCTAAGAACTGGGAAATTTTAAAATTTTAGAACCAGAAAGATATTAATAGGTTAGATTGTAAAAGTATTTCATTGTACTATTCTTCCTAAGCTTCAGGAATTTAATAATAAGGAAGTTTGTCAAAGGATTTCAGCATATTCTTTCTAGGGAATTGAAGTATATTTGTTACCAAGATTTTCTTACAAAGAATTTAAGTTCATATAAAAAAATATAGTTTTATAAGTGCATCACGGGAACGGGCCTAGTCCGGATTGATATATCAATGACTGCAGATGCAACACATCTCCGCTTCGCTCGTTTTGACATTTTAGCCTAAGGGTAAATGAGGTGTGATTATCTATATGATAATAATAATTATTGGCTATGATCCGTGGTGTCGGATTGCGCTCTATAACTTTAAGCGTACCTATGTGTTTATTTATTTTAACGTCTTATTAATTTTTCATTTTATTATTATTCTCATTTAACATACACACACAGCATTTTATTTTACTCATAGTGGTATGTAACAATGACGACTCCTTAGCCAACCCGCGTCCGATTCTTGGTCGGGTCAATGCAGAAATTGACTTTTCTCTATAATCACAGATCTAGCTGTTGTGGTACCTTCGTTGTCTCAAATACTCCATAATAGGCTTTAGCTACTCAATTTGGTATATAATATATATTATATAGGTTTTTTTTTTTTTAACTCAACGGTTCCGATTTATTTATAGTGCAGAAAATTTATAGAGCCGTCACGGACAATTTTATAATACGCACTACTTAAAAAGACTGTCACTCTCAGAATGACACTATTAAAGTGGGGTGGAGCGACATTATTTGTTATAAAAGAGGAAGTAAAGTAAAAAGCCTGTCCCTGGCTATCTTACATAGGGAGAGAGGAAGGCAAGTTGCACAAAAAAAAAAAAAACTATTTATATCTCATACGCTATCAAGATTGTGGTAAAATGAATATCAATTTCCTCGACTATAAATTGACTTTATATAAGAGTTTATTGTATAAGTCAATTTGCATATAAGTTATCCATTTTTGTTGCAAAAAGGGATATAATTACAACAAAAAATTGAAATATTGTGAATTTTAATATTTGATATTTACTATAGAAATTTAACTAATTCATGTTTTAGTTGTGAACCTTATTAAATGCAATATGATTTTATTAATTAAGATATGAATAACGTATATATGTAATATATCTATACATACATTTTTCCCCCACATTGATTATGTTACATTCTTTTTATAATGCTAATGAAATAAACAATTTATTATGGCATATAGTTTTCTCATATTTAATTCATTTTCTCTGTACAAAAACAATAAGAAGTAGGTAATTGATATTAGGTGTACACGTTTTTTTAACGTCTTAAAACGAATCGATTGTTTTTTTACAGTTAACGTGGAAGCACCCTTATTTATGTTGTAAAAGAATGTCAAATCGGATTAATATTGTATTATAAAACGATTTTGCTTTTTATGATGAAAAGTAACAAAGAATCTAAGAGGCTTACTAAGATTTCAGCTCGGTGAGCTCTTATTAATTATGAGAGAGGACTCGTTAACATCTATCATCACTTTAAATAGGTAGTTTCTAAACATTTTACTGTGGTTATTCTTTTATTCAGTAGTCCTTTAAATATTTATGTTATGAAAAAATATATAAATGGTCATTAATTAATCTAGTATTTTCGTGATGCTAGTTTTAATATAATTATCAAATATTTCATTCACACGAAATTATACATATGAAACTATAATTAAATCATCAACTTTGAGAGAGAATTTAATAGTATTTTGTGGGTAGGCCACATAAAACTTATTATTTCTTCCATTTACTAGTGATATTGGAAATTATGGTTCAGATTGTAATTAATTCGTGCAATTCGGCGAATCGTTGGTAGAATTTAAATTTTTCTATTAAAATATTAATTAAAGTATTGAACCTCTCTCCTATTAAGGCTTACTCTAATTAAGCTTATAAAGCACTTGTGTTATGGCAGTGTAAATCAATGAATGTATATAAGAAAATCTAATCAGAGAGCACATATAGAGCTGAAGGGATTAGCAGCTTTTAAGTCTTCTATACCTAAGTACAGTTTCTAGCTTTGTTTGTAAGGAGTAATCTTCGGAGATATTGAATCGATTATGAAATTCTTCCACCTACAGCAAGCTACACGAACGTTCTATATGGATGGAATCGAATCAACTCGAATAGAGGGGAATGGCCATTGCGGTTGGTGGGTATTAACGACTGCATATGCAACCGGGACTGACGGCTTAATGTACCTTCCGGATAACGGAGGAATTCAAGATTATATATTTTCGAAAATTTATTATCCCGATGCGAATGTTGCTTAACAATTGTATATCAGATCGAGCGCGCTAGTCACTGCGCCCTCGAGCTCCTCAGCAATAAATACAAATACTTTTTTATATAATACTTGTATATAAGAGAAATTTATAACATCTAATTTACTTCTCAACCCTGCCGATGGTACACGTGTCTCACGACACGTGGCGTAAGCGAATCGAGTGCGAAAGGATTCGAACCTTTTTGTTGTGACAATGAAGTTCCTTTGATAGTAGAATCTTATTAGAATGATTGAACGAGATTAAAATTTTTATACAAGCAGGCTTTATGATAGTGTAGGGAGAATTTCTTTTGGTGATTAAAATTATTTTGTTGATTAGCTAATTATTATTTTCATTGCGTCGCTATTATCAGTATTATATAAATTTGATAGTAATATTGCTCACTTAGTAACATCTAATTTCCCCATGTCCTAGTGAAATTATCGAGAAAAATAAGTAGTTATAATCGTAAGTACTTTGTAGAATAAATATTGCTTTGTATTCTACAGCTTACAGTCTGCGGCAGCTTTTAGGTATCTAATGAGTAGTTTGTTTTTTTCCAGCATTAACTACTGAATTGAAGTTCACATTAGCTTAGTTTACTACTAAGCATAACATGAATTGTCTCTCACTACTTGGATTGGCAGTTCTAAACCGGTTCTTTCTCGCAATTCTTTCAAATCTTAGTTGGGAAGAAAATAAATTATTATATACTTACTATATATCTTAGATACATATGGCAAGTTACTTTAAAAGGTGACAAAGATGGTACTATTTTTATTGGAAAAGGTTTACTGCTAGATCTTATAAATTACAACATTTAATATCAGCTCTATGTGCCAGGTTTGTTATATGAATTTACACTGGAAAAAAAACTTTTCTGGATATGGGTATATGTATACTTCAATACTTTGGTTCTACAGTGGGATTATATATGGAATATTTAATCCGTGATGCTTTTATGATTTAATATTCTCTGTGTTAAAAGGTTTTGACGGAAAAAGTTTTATGTATTCAAACGTTATTTTTGGCCGCACTTTAGTGAGTGATTGTCAGCTTGTAGACTGAGAAGATTCAACTAGTAGCCCAATATTACAAGTATAACAGAGTCACACTTGACAAATGTTTAGTTTTTATTCAGTAACGTCCAAATAGTGATAACATAAATATGTAAATCGTTTTATAAATTAACAACGGATTTATGGTACCAGAAGAGGCCAAAATACGGTTTTGTTTACAAAGTGTCGACATAAATGTTATCTAATTTTACAGCTTAAATAAACAAGTCTTATCGAAGTAAGAAGTTTCGTAATAATCGATAGGATTAATTAAAAAGAAATCATAATCAGGACTTTTTTGCTTAGATATCATGCCTCACATGTTTTGGTGATTCCACAGATTAATTAGAAAACCAAGATTATGTAGCTGCAATACAATATATTTTAAAATTTGTTTTAAGTAAATGTTGTATGTAAAAATACAAGTACCAAAACTACTAGAAAACGTTACAACTGCAGTCCTGTCATCGCCTGACCGCTTAATATAGCTATATAATCCAGTTCCAGTACATAGTAACACAAAAGTTTGTGTAAAATGTGTATTATTGTATTTCTATTTGTTATTCTATTTTTACTAAACTTATTTCAATATTATTACCGATGAAAGTTTTGTTACTTTATCGTTAAATCATTAACTCAAATTCTGTTTGAATTATGTATACTGTTTGTAATTTTACTATAAAGCCGAAAATCACTAAAGGAATTTAGATAAAATTAAATACCTGGAAAAATTAGGATATATTTTTAACCCAACACAGATAACTTCCCAAGGGAAATCGGGGTAAGTAATGTCTTAAATGAATGTGAAATATTTATGTATTTCAGTTTGGAAAGATTCCACGTTTGACAAATACTAGAATGCAGAGTGCATTATTCATACATTGTTTGCAGCCTTATTTCTTTTTAAACTAGTCTACAAATATTCTAGATGTACTATTATTAGTAGTAGGTAATAGTATTTCTAAAGTACTAATATAGTTGCACTGTATAAAGTGAATGTATATAGTTCGCAATCAGTCCATTCTTTGTTTTATATTTCGGTGTCTATATTCGAATGGATGGGTCAGGTAAAATTCAGGATTTATCGATCTGACGCTTTAAAACTTAGGTGACATATCACGCAGCTAACTGGTCGTCTATATTGCTCACTACGACCAGTTAGGTGTTACATTTTTGTATTATGTGGCGAGAAGTATACGTATGTAAATGTTTGGTAGTAGTTAGCGAAACGTTAAGCTTATAATATGTTAGTGTAGTTTCTCCTTCTTTGTATAACAAACTTATTATCTATTTATTTCTTTAATAAAACGCTTACAGGTACTTGATTTTTTCCACGTAGATGAATTTATAATTCGCACAACTTATAAAATTAGTTCATATGATAGAATTCAAATTACTCCTTCATTTTTTGTAAGAATACAAAAAATATGGTACAGTCGGGCGTAACAGTAGACGAATTCTCAGTATCTTTATCTCAGTCTATTAATGTAGGTATCCATTGCTAGAGCAGAGGTCTTCAATGTAATTAAATCAAATAGGAACCATGCGGTCCTAGTGCGGATTAGTGGGTGTATGAAGAATTCGAGATCTACCGTCCCTTGCCCATGTATGTACATTAACTTTCAAACATTACATTAAATGTGTTAATCATTGCGCCATCGAGCTCCTCAAAGTATATATCCAGCAAAATGTAGCGTAAAAATTTTTATTTATAAAAAATAAATAAATTTGATATTTTTTTAAAGTTATGAATCGTATTTCAATCAAAGCGTCGTATCAGTCAAGACCTATGGAGCCAAAACGTGAAACATGACAGTGTAGCTGGCCCACCAACTACGTGTCGCTAAGCGAGCTATGGAAAAGTGTATGCTCGGAGTCTGTCTAAAGGATAATATCCGGAATGAGGTCATCCGGCAGAATACTAAAGTGATGGATGTCACCCAGAAATGTAGCAAGCTGAAGTGGCAATGAGTTGGCCACATCTGTCGGAGAACCACAGCGCAGAACCGACGAGAGGTGAAATAAACTAGTTCTCTAATGGAGACCACGCCTTGACAAATGTAGTGATGGATCGAATCCGGCATGATGGATTGACGACCTTAGAAAGTCTGGTAGTGGCTGGATGAAAACAGCGGGAGATCATGTTTTGTGGCGCACTCTGGGGGAGGCCTACGTCCAGCAGTATACTGCAACAGGCTGATATGATGATGATGATGAATTGTATTTCATATAGGTAATTCGTTCCGTAATGGCGTATGCCATACATTCCAAAATGTTTAACGATCGGTGATATTCACTCGACTGCACACACAAACGCATTATTGGAAAATTTACATATTATTTGCTGTGAATGTGGTTCGCGATATTTAAACCATACAATTTTACGTTCAGTTATATATTCCGTTTGATTTGTTCGATTCATCAAAGAGAATAAATATTATTTCCAGGAAATATCATTGATGTCTGACTTTAAAATTTCCATTATTTTTTTTTCTGATGGTTAATTTTATTTCTGATTTTGTAGTTTTTTTTTTAATTATTTAATCAGTTCACTTTGTACGAAAATAATCGGTTTGTTATTTTGTATTTGGTCATGTTCTGTGTATGTGTATTATCTTACGTGATAAGGCACGTTGGCTACATGGACTATATCATTCTCGGTGTACGGAAAGGAGGCATCAGTATCGAACTCGAAATGATCCAGCTTGCGGTACCTTAATTTGTCTTCTTCCCGCTCTTCTATTTGTCTGGTCGAGTACAATCTGAAACGGCCAAAGTCTTACAAACCTAATTAAGAAAAGGTTCATCGATAATACAAAATTGAAATGATTTTTTTTTAATTGCCCTGTTAGTAAATTTGTTAGTTTGGGTGACAATTTTCGTTTTAAAGAAATTGGAGCCGTTTCTCGGTTTTCTTTTGCATGTGGTGAGAAAAGGGACCTTTGGAAAACAAAACAAACGTTGATAGAGTCTGCAGGTTCAAATTTGTCTTAATATTCCAGTCTCACCTCACGATGGACCTGGAAGGTGGCCCTGAGTATTTCGCAATTATATAACGCAGCCTCGTCGAGTTTGAGTTTATTCGATTTGTCTATACAAGATCTCTGTGCCTGCATTAGCAATGGCAATGGCAATCTTACCCAACTCGGTTTTTATAATTAAGTGAATTGTTACCACTTTCAAGTTTAGTAAATAATATAGCAAATTTAATAGTTGCATTCGGTAATCGGTTTCCTAGCTTTAGAATGACAGCTCGGTTAGTGAACTTTGCGATCGCTAGTATACGCCGTAGAGATACGCCGAATATGTGTTTGGTAATCGGTGTATTTGGCATCTTTTTACTATTTGTATTCGGCCGAATTATTCGGTTTCGGTGCTGAATATATTTAGTTCGAGTATTCCTATAATCTTGGTTATTCTATTTCTTTTATAAATCAAATAAACCTTATGAAGAACGTGTTCAAAATAAAGCAATTAAACTTCAAATCAATATTTGTTTTTAAACTTATTTACATGGCAAAACAGTGAAATAGTAAACCGATACGGCCGAATATCCAGTTGTGTAAAAGTTAAATCGAATAGAATTCGGTGTTCGGTTATATCTCCAATTGCTATCAATGTTATACTGTAGCCACTAGTCAAACATACTCGTAATAATAAAAAAGAGCTTTTTTATAAAATTGATTACATCTAAATATCGGATTAATAAGTCTCAATGAATTACTTACTTGTATACGTAAGGTCCTAATTCAGTGAGCACCGGTGCGGCACCCTCCATAACTTCTGCTGCATTGGTGATGTTAAAAATTCGTACTTTGAAATCTAAAGGGAAAGGTATTTCTTCAAATCTTTGCAATTGAATTGTATCATCTAGTAATATTACTTCCTGCAAAAAAATGAATAAAATAAAAATACAAGTTAAAACTTAACTAACTTTGGTTATTTAATTCCTTTGGCATTTATTCATTTTCTGCCTCACCACTCTCTCACAGCCTACGTCCTAATGAAAAAATAGTACAACCGAGATTTAATAATACTGTCTACAGTGAAATTTGACAGCACACCTACACTGGGCCAAGGATGGGAAACTATGTTATTCTTTTAATCGAACGGGGAAGCCTCGTACTATAAAAGAGAAATGGAGAATATAAAACCTATATTCGTTTTATTTATTTAATATTTTATTCTGTCTAATATAAAGTATGTATGTAACTACCTATAAGCATTTGTACCATTGGGTGTTTTATCAGTGTTACCACATCGTTAGTTAACCTTATAGATAATGATTCGACTAAAACTAAATATTAATGGTAGGATTTAATACTAACATTTGAATGAAAAATTATTAATATAATCCGCTTTGTCCCATCTCTGAATACCAGAGATAAAGTGGATTTTATGAGAATTTTTCATCATGACTATTGCATTGACAATGCTATACTGAAATAGCATTGTAAATGCAGAATTCATCAAATATAATAATTTATTTTTAATAAAAATATGAGTTTATTGTCTTTAATTAGACATCACCGGGAAATACATAAGGAACAGTTATTTATGTTTTAAACAGTAACTGTAGACGTTATTACTTATTAGTACACACTTTTTCATACAAAGAAAAACTGCTGAAAGCAATTGATATGATTGATTGTTTGTATAATTATTTATTTTAGCTTTATTGCACAAATCAAAATGTACAAATGGCGGACTTATTCCCATGGGGGCATTCTCTACCAGTGTATATTAGTAAATAAGAGATTCAATAATTTTGCTTTAAAAAAGTAATATGTTATTAATTTTCTATGGATTACAATTCAAAACATATAATTATAGATTTTTAATTAATACTTTCAATAAATTTCAAATATTTCACTATTCGATATTTTATCTTTTTATATTGAATATTTCATACGTAAATATTCATAGTATGTGTATGTATTACTACTATCATATGTATTACTATTAACATATATATAAATAACAAGGTAACCGATATAGCAATATCTCGAGATTTCTCGATCTTGCGTTTATAGCGAGCCTTTGAAGTGATAGCATGAATTTATTTTTACTTACATTGAGAATACCATCTCTGACTAAATTTGGAACAACTACAAATCCAACAATAGTACTGGTTATTACTAAGGCGGAGCCAATTACTATAACCACCAAACCACACACAAAACCAGAACACATTTTCAATACTTAACAATTAATTATTATTTTTTGCATTAATCGTTATAAGTATTGACTCTGATTGGGAGTCAACATTGAATGATTGTGATATAATTTTCAGGTTCGATAAGCGTTGATAAGTTGATCACTCTTGCCGGGTAGCGAGGGCAGTGTTAATCCATTATTTCTTTTTATCTATTTTAATTAATCTTAATTATAGATATTTACATGGCCTAGAAATTTACTTATGTGTATTTACTAATTTAATACACATAAATATATTGAACTGAATATTATAGTTATTATTTATAATATAAGGCGGTGTTCTAGTCGAACATATAAATTCATGATATAAATAACCATTTAATTTGGAAATTATTTATTTGTTGGAATTTTTTTAGTTAATCTGGAAATTGAAGCTTTTGGTCAGCAGCGACTAAGTTCGCTTTGTTCAATACGTTTAGTGGGATAAAAATTATTCTATATATTAATCCAGGCTGAGAATTTCATTTCATCAAAATCCGTTTAGTACTTTTTGCGTAAATGAGTAATAAACATACATCCTCTCAAATTTTCACATTCATAATATTATTATACTAAATAATATCATTTTTGTTTTTTTTTCAATTGAGGCATTTTAGAAATGAAGATTTTTATTTTAAATGGCATTAACTGGATGTTGTGTTGTCCTGACATGTAGGAAGGATATTTCCCAATTTTCGATTGCAAAAAGTCAGCAATATTTTTGATTACTCTCTGTGTTTGCGATAACATCTGAAACCGTAGTACTTGCTTGCGCTTTGCGCTTTGATCTTGTTCGTACGTTCTACTTATCAAAACTTCTATGATTTCATACCTACTTCATTTTATTCTTTTTATTTCGTTATTTAAAAATTCGCTTTCGAAAGTTAGTTATGGTTAGTCAATGGCATAGAGAAAAATATGGTGAATGATATAATTTCATAAACACAAATGTGTTACTGAATTAATTTCAAAATTCTAAATGTTTTGTTTTTATCCATCAAAAGTAAAAGTATTTTTAATCAATCTTTTTAAATGAAAATTTCTTTATTCAAAAGAGCTTATTATATTTAAATCGTTAAAATCAATTCAGCTACGTACGTATGTAAACAATGTTTAATATATTTTTGGACTACGCAAGACGTAGTTGCATGAGGTAATTTTGGGGGTGGCGGGTGTCTTTAACATTACGGATAAAGGGGGGCCAAGAAATTTCCAGGAAATAAGGGTGCCTGCTCGTAGGCGTGGCCTATATTTTCGAGGGCTCCCTTCATTGGTCGTTTACAAGTCCTTCGTCTAACGATAAATTTACCACTACAGATACATGCATACTTACACTTCCACTGACACACATCTGGGTTTATATTTGTTTGTGTTAAATCATCATATTACAATTGTTTTCAGACGTTATTTTATAAAAAAATGGTGTTTTAGGTGACTTAAAAAAATTAATCAAATACACATCGTAATTATTACAAACATGTATCTGGCATTGCTAGATTTGAGATAATAATACTAAAGTACAATAAACTTCTAAGAAATAAGGTCTAACAATAAAAATTTTCACATTTTTCTAATAAAAAGGATATGTTTCTTATCCATTTAAAATGCCCTATGGTCTATAGACTGTAAATAGATAATATGGTCATGAGAAAAGTGATTAAAAAAAGCCATTCAATGAGAAAGATACAGATCGATAACTTCGGATTGATCGAATTAGAGCGCTGGTAACAACTTTATATTCTGATGGACGATCAAATTAGGTCTTATACCAAACTGGGTATCGTGACTGTGTTGAAATGGAAAAACATTTAAAAATGTTTTTATCCTTTTGTGTAAATAGAAATCGTTTGAAAGCGATAAGGCCGCCAATTTTACAATGTTTGTGTATGTTAATGTCTTTTCAAGCTGTGCGATAAAGGATACTTACCCATTATTAAATGAAATAATGTATATTTAAATTAAATATTTAATAAGAAGTAGACGAAAAATTGGAAAATGAAGAAAAGAACCAATGATAAATATGAAAGTGGCCTACTTTTTTTGTCAAATAGTTTAAGCATAATCTTTAGACAGATTTTTAAGAAATTTGTGACGACGGAGGCGTATGAAATTTGACATAAATAAAGTTTACCTATATGAAAAAGAGCAAACTGTAATATTTTTTTAATAATGCTAAAAATTGTCATTGATAAACATTTATTTCATAAATTGTAGTTTTTATGTGTAAATATTACCCCAAGCTGCAAACCGTAATTGAATCTATATTCGACTACGAAGGACGACAGCCGTGGGTTTAGGGCACCTAGACGATTACCTAAATTATATCTTCTTAGTGATTATGGGATTGTTAGGTTGGGTTTTTTTTCTGCACTGTAGTCTATGTGTTTTTACAAGCTTTTTTTTAGTTTCACCTGTCCCCATGTTTGTCTTTCTGTAATTAAATCTTGCAAGCTAAATTTCACCCACTTCCCAGTCTCCATTTGAGCTGAAATTTGAAATATATCTTTAGTTCTGATGAATTATCATCAGCAATTATGTAATATCATCGATAATCATTCAAAATGGCCGCTGTATCAAAATGGCAACAGAACAACCTATTAATACGGGTATCAAATCAAAGGGCTTAGCTTGTTGAATACAATACCCCAAAGCTTGTTTAAATTTTTTTTTTTACTTGTTACTGTTTATCTAAGTTTCGCCAGCGGAGCGCGCCTTTAGTAGGTAAGTAAGCAAACAAACTTAGCTAATTTTGACTATGTACCCATTAGTGGAATGACTCTAGTCATTTTTAAGGTTCCAGATTTTCTCTGTTTAAAAAAACGCTGAATCTAGTTTGTCAGTTACTTCGGTTTCTCTGTTTTATTCGTGATAAAAAACTAACATAAAAGGGTTTATGTTGAAACGCGTAAATTCATAATTAAATTTGGTTTATTTAAATGATATTAAGTCTATATTTGTAACAAAACGGACCATTTATTTCAGCGACATTTCTTTTCTGGGATAGACTTTGAACAATTGCCTTCTGTAACTTTCGACGGCAATATTATTCCTTACCCTGAAACTGTTAGAAACCTTGGAGTTATGTTTGATAAATAGTTCTCCACATTCGCCACATTGAATCTATACTATAATAAAAACATAACCGATCGATGTCTGTACATTGAAGATATATGAAAAAAACTGTTATGAGGGACATTTATAAACGTAATTTTTAAACTTTTTGTCTGCACTCGATTTACCCGGTTTCTCCAATTTTCCATCTGGAAAGGGACCAATGGTTCAATACTTGAGTGTCCTGGTGACTCGGCCATAGCTTGCCGGGTTTCATTTCCCATGAGAGGGTGTAGAGTACGGGTTTTGGTGTGTAGGCCTCTGGGGACCCACCGGGCAGCTCACTGTCGGGTTCATGGAGGAGAATCCTACTCACCCCTGTTGCTTGCCAGGTAACAGAGACAATATCAGAAGTTTTTCCACGACGTTAAAAAGTTAGATTCACGTCAACTGAAGTTAAGAACGTAAAGACAACTTGAGTTATATATATTTTTTTCTCTTATTACTATTTTTTTATGTTAATACTCTTTTTGTTTTTTTTACATACAAATTGCTGTAGATACGTACTTCAAAGTTGGTATTTTCAGTCTTCGCTGGAAACAATGGTTTATTCATTGGTCACAACACTCATATAATATACTTATTTAATATATCATATATAACGCGTGTCTGAGGGTCGGTTCAGAGTAGTTCGGTGGCGTAGTGAATAAGCGCCATGGCCCGCGATTGTAGTTGTTAAGCAATTTTCGCAAAGGTCGGGCACAGGATGGATGACCAAAAAATATTATCTCAAACAACTCCAAGCTTCGGAAACTACGTAAAGCGATTGGTCCCGGTTGTATTTGCAGTCGTTAATATCCTCCAATCCACATTGGGCCAGCATGGAGGGTCGTGGCCCATCCTCTTTAACCATACATAAGGAAGGCCTGAGCTCCTGCAGTTGGTGACGTAAAAGGGCTGATGATGATGATGATGATGGGGGCCGTTCAAATCTGACAGATGTTCAGTTAAGCACCTCTCGGAAGTAGACGATTTCCTTCGAGTGTGGAAAGTCGAAATTTAAATATGTATATATTTTTTTTATATCAATAAATTAAACTCTTCGTATCTTCCGTCAGACATGTACCGACCGACTTTTATTGACAAAGAAAGAGATCAGACAGTAAGCGCTTGGTCTCGGGAGACATCTGAAAAACGCGAAGCGTATTTAACTGCCCATCGCGAGGCTCATGCACTATAAAGTTGAATCTGAAGCATTTACATACATGCAGTATGGTATGAGTATGAAATTTTCCTTTGATAGGGAAATGCGCTTGGTCTCTTAAAGAGCTCGCAGTTTGCACAATAGAGATCGAGAAATTAGTTTCGATTATCGCCAACCCGTGTTGCCTTCATACTCCACAGGCGTACATCAGATAAGTTTTCACAGGGTATAATGAACTAGCTATTTTCCCACGACTGCCGCAAAATTATAACCTATGACATGCAAGTTTGATGTAGCTTCCCGTAGGTCGGAATCGCTCTGAAACTATCAGTCCAGTAGTTTTGGAGCAAATTCGATGCAAACAAACAAACAACCAAATTTTTCCTCTTTATAATATTAGTATAGCTTCGGTATAAGGGGTCCGATGGCGTAGTAGGTTAGCGCATTCGGTTTAAATTGCAGTTAAATAAGTAAGTAAATACTGCACAACAAGGACAAACATGAATACTTATTTTACATAACTAAGTACAAACGACAAACTCATCGCTAGCCGGCGACTTCTTCCAGGCAACCTAGCATTACATGGAAAAAAGAACAATAAATAGCCGATTGTGCATACAACCAGACAAATAATAATAATATTAAAAGATCAAAAACAAAAGAAGGACAGTTTAAAGGTACGAATTAAATACTTAGACACAAGCGAATAACATTCATAAGGATCGTTCACAGGATGCGTGAC